CTCTCTGGCGCGTCCGCCTATAATTACTTCACCGTTGTCATTTTTATAATCCGCTTTTTTCTACGTCGCGCGAATATAGAAAAGTCCGTTGGAGCATTCTCATTTAAAAGGACTTTGTCCCGGAGTACGAAGTAAACGTCTCTCTTTCTCTCTCCCCCCTCTCTTTCTCTCTTTCCTCTCCCACCCCTTTCTGTTTCTCTGTCTTTCTGTCTGTTTCTCTTTGTCTCTCCTTTTAACCCGCTCTCTCCTTCCACTACTTCTTTCCCTCCCTCTCTCGGTCGCAGGCAATGGTCGTGGCGTCTCACTTGCGCCTTCTAGATCCGCTCCAAAAGAATCCTCCGTGATACGCAACAGGTTATCGAAAGGTGCCCGTGCATGTTCGCCGTGGCGCGAATACATGCATACACACATACGCGCTTGTACATGATATTTATATTTATACACAAGAGAGCGAATACACATACACACACATACACACACTCACCGGTCTCGGCGGCGACTGCCAAGGATCCGACCAGGAGCGTGCACAGGACGAGCAGCAGCGGGACCCGCGGAGGCCTTCGCCGCGCGCTCACACCGTTCAAGGAGCACCACCGTTCCTTTTCGCGCGCCATATCTGCGTCGTCGACGACGAGGAGAATTCGCTCTCGTCGGCCTCTGGTCTCGCGAAAAGAGAGATTCCCTGGCGGCAAATTCGCGCCGTGGAGAAGCGGAGCGTGTGTGCTCCGGAGTTCCTTGCGCTCGCTGGGTGGTGCACTCGTCGACCTGGAGACGGGGACGGAACGCGACGGAAAAACGACGAGCGCTCTCGCACGCTCGCGCGGCGGCGACGGCGGCGGCGGCGGCGGCGGTGGCGGTGGCGGTGGCGGCGAATGAGGAACGAAAGAGAAGGACAGAGCACAAGGCGAAAACGGATAGTGGCGAGGGCGGTGAAGGGAGAGACTGACAGCAGATACACGTACGTTCGGATGGGGAAAGAAAGAAAGAAAGAGAGGAATGAAGGGCAGCGACTCGAATTTCACCGAGGAATGGGAAAAGACGAGTGGCAAAAGAGCAATTGTACGCTACCGCGCGAACCAGCCCTCCGAGGATGCTGTGCGGAACTGTCGCGAAACTGTGTTCCTCTTCAAACAACACAGTCCTTTTTATTATGTTAATTGTCCGCTGACGCGTCCTTTGGTGCGTTCGCTGGCGCGATTGGCTTTCGCGCTCGCTGCGAAGAATGCGGAGAAACGACCGTTTCGAGAGATCGATCCGAGCGAGAAACAGTCCGATTCGTAACGAGGCGCGCGGCACACTGACGCGCGAGCGAGCGAACGAGGCGGTCGAGGCGAGTTACTCTCCAGCGCGTAAGTTGGTACCGAGCGCATTCGCTTTAAACCGGTACCATCGAGCGGAACACTGCTGCTGCGGCAACGACGCCCGCTTGCGACGCGAACGGCATGCTCGCTCTCACTAGCCGTTCGCCACGCTCTCGCCAGTCGCTACCGTCCCCGTCTGGACTGCTTCTGCATCATCTAGATGAGCACGTCCGCCGGCCGGGTTGTCTAGATGAGAGCGCGTAACATCACCCGCGAAATTCGAACAACGTCTGTAACCCCAGCAACCATTTTAGGTCTATTCTTCTCAGCTAAACTGTCTGAACTGACGCAATAAGACTGCTGCAATAAGTCAGAGTGAAACAATTTGTTTTATTCTAACTTGTTTCAATATGTACGAGTTCAGATAGTTCAGCTAAAACAGACCTCATGATTTCGGGGAGCTTGCTCTCAGGAACGAAGAGGACTGGTGGGAAGATGGAAGAGATAGGTTCAAAGATAAACATGTAAAGTGTGAGAAATTAATGCAGTAAATATAAATATCACCGGCTGCAAGCGAAAGGCAAATAAGACAAAATCGTTGAACTTCAATCCGCCGTCAAATGTCGGATTTATTTGTTTACAATGCGCGGTAGTATCGATTAGATCGATTAGATCGTTTAGAATTCATTGGAGATAACGCTCAGTTGACTTACATCGATAAGGAAGGCAACTGTGATATCGTAGCAAGATAAGACGTTATCATTTCGGAGATACGAACGATTGCGCGATAATTGTCTTCATCTGTTTCGACAAACATCTCGCCACGCAGACAGAGCGTCGATTCGTTGAAGCGACTTTAGCATTCGTCCGCGAGACGATGTATGTAAGAGAGAGAGAGGGAAGCACCGGAAGTACTGTCGAGCAAGGAAAAGGTTTCTCCGTAGGGTGAGTCCGGGGGTGAAACAAAGGGTAATTCCACGAAGTCGCCGCTCGAGCCGATCAAGTGCGAGGTGTCGATCGATTGATGTTGCCCGAGTATAACCTGAGGAAGAGCCAGCGCGTGAACGATGACCCTTAAATGGCGTCGGAGTCTATACTCCGCCACCCCTTACACCACTCTCTACGTCCAGTATTTTTACCGTGAAATTCGCTTTTTCCGCGAACGTGCGATGACACCGCTTGATGTCGGCGTCGCGAGGGAAACACAACGCCGCGTTGATCTGTCGCCTCTGCAGACTTTTCATCCTCAGCATGTACGACCTGTCGGTCGTGCGACGGAGAAGATCCACCTCGTTTAACGCTTCCAGGGTCGGCGCCAGTTTGGAGTCGCGTATCCTCGCGAAGTCCTCCTTCTCCTGAATCTCATCCGCGCGCTTAGCGGCCGAAATCAGCTTCCTCTGGTTCTCCTCGATGAATATTCCCCATGAATGGTGCCATTGCACCATGCTGGAGATCAACTGCGCGTCCACGTTCAAGGGCGTGATGCCGGTTTGCTCTAAGTACTTGGAGATTTCCGTCCACATCTGGCTGAGCTTCAGCTGCAGGTACACGTTGACGCAGCACATTGTTATCTGGTGGAGGATGTAGAATTGAGTATATATATATGTATATTATATATATATATATATATATATATATATATATATATATATATTCTGAAACGTCTCTCTCTACGAAGTTTAGCATTTCAGTCACGTATTAGATAAAAAATATATTCGATTAGATAAAAGATATTAAATAAAATATATTAGACAAAATAAGTATTCGATTTACTTACTACATGGAGTCGAAGTAAGTTCTTCTTTAATAAAGTTTTATAATATTCTTGTAAGGAGAGTAAATTCTTCTTTTAAATATATATGTATCATAATGAGCTTCTCTCAAATTTGTGCGTGACAAATATATTTGAAGGCTACATTACACGAAAACATTATTTACCTGCGCCGACTAATTATCAACGTCAAACTGATATTTATAATTTTATTGCAACGCGAAAGGTCGCGAAAAAAATTTAACGACGACAGAATTCGTGCATCAATAGAATTCAACTCGAATTCAACCGAAATGGCAACGTGGAGCGGATGTATCACGCGTGCGATTTTATATATGTCAGGATACAGACACTAGTCATTAGCACTAACGCATGAATTTTATCATGTGAGTTTTTTCAGTCTTCGCCGTTTTTCTCTCGCGATGTCTCGCTTCTGGCGCGAGCGCTGTAATTAAATTATCGCATTCGTTTGTCTCACGGACTAGTATCAACGTAAGAATCGCAAATCTGTGCGCAACGTATAACAGTATCGCGTCATGAGACACTCCCTCTTTTTCCCTTCTTTTTCCCATCTTCTCCGCGCAGTTCCGAAAAAGTCCCGCGCGATTTAAGCGTCTCGCTTAAAGACGATCGAGGAAAGAGCGCATCTCGATCCCGAGAATCGTTAATATCGTTGAGGCGAGAAGACGTTGCAGAATAATCACTCGAGCGATCCGAAAATAGCCGACGTAATGTCGCGTGGGTCGCCAAACTGGTGATGATATCCGGTTGAAATTACAATTTCACCCGAATAGACGATGATATCCGGTTGAAATTACAATTTCACCCGATCGAAGCTCATTTTGATTCTGATAGCAGAGAGGAAGCGGTTGTCTGACGTAAACTTTTCAAACTCTCGTCGAGTTCTTGATTTGACGAGCGCGAGACGTCGCGCGGATTCTCTTATTTACAAAATTAATATATATATATATTAATATATATATATATATATATATATATATATATACATACACACACACATGTGTGTGTGTGTGTGTGTGTGTGTAAATCTATGTTGTTATGTGTATGTATATATGTGCATATACACATAATAGAGTTGCTTTGGATAAGTTGAACGAACAGATGGAGAATGGCTTATTTTAACCCCTGTTATCTCGAGAATTCACTCGTTATCTTATCTTCCCTCGCTTTGATTTCCTAACGGTCTCTTACGTTTGAAATTAACTGTTCCACTTTTAGCTGATTAATTTTTCGATCTTATTTATATATCTCCTCCTCTTATCATCTTCTCAGTTGAACTTACACGATCCTTCGTCGGCAGCACATCGAGAAGGACCTTGTAATGCTTGTTGGCGATCTCGTATTTGTCGCTATCCCTCTCGATGATTTTCACAATACTGAAGATCTTCGATCGCAGCGAGCCGATCATATCCACCATGGTGGGACTGCTGTCCGCCGTGAGCTTTGAACTGTAAGTGTCTGCCCACTGCTTGGTACCCATCTGAGGCAGTTCTGGATCTAAAATAACAAAAGTCAATAAATATTCGCATTAAGATCATCTACACTAAGAAAAAATGTTTGGTACAATCACATAGAGAAATAATTATGATAAAGAAAACCACTATTTATGATAATAACCTTATGTGCACGTTACTTCAGGCTGCGTTCGGAAACGTCACTTGAGTACTCTTCCTCTCTTTTTATCTCACTCTTATATCTCGCCACTCCAACGTAACGGATACACTTGGGTGACGTTTCCGAACGCAGCCACAATCATTTTCGTGTTGAAACATCTGAAAGATATAGTTGGGGTCAAAGATAACTATAATTTTAGTTGGATCAACCATTTTTTCTCAGCGTACGCCAAATTTGACGATTCGTGAGATCAAACCTCCAATGGAACCATCAGCGCGTCTCTTAATGCCGATCCTATCCTCTTCCTCCCGCCAGATAACCGCGAGCAAGGATATTAGTCCTGTCTTCTTATCAGTGCCTCTCCAGGTGCAGAGAAACGGCCCACAAAAGGTGCAATCGACCATATCGGTTAATACGCCGAGGTATAGACATTTCACGGGGTAGTTTGCTATCTCAATTATATCCAGCATGAAGTATAGTCCTCCGCTTTGCAGGAAAATTTGCAGGTTCGTTGGACACCGCGCCACACATTCCCAAACGTAACAGCCTATTGCTAACAACAGCCTAAAAAAATGATTGGCAACATTTTATGATCACATTTTATGAGAAACATATCTTGGTCTTCTCGCGTAGCATCCATTTTACTTTTTCTTTTCCTTTAATATTAGAATCTAAATTTCCAATATTCTTTGCTGTATTTTGTTTCTTCAATCGAATAACTCTTGTAGAGTTGATTATGGTAATGCGAAAAATATTACTGCGTGATGAGCGTATTATTCACATAGCGGGCCGTTACCGTTGATCTACTTGAAAGTCATCCTTCTTTTGATACAGACACCTCGCAAATATCTCGATAATGAGTCGGACGCTCCGTTCACCGTACATCTGTTGAACAGATGTCTGTTTTTTCACGAGACCCTCTAGGGCGGTGAACAGCAATGTTAGAATTCGCTGTCTTCTCATTGTAAGTTTGTCGAGAACCGCGATATTGCTGATTAATCCTGAATTACGAAAAAGCAAAACGTATCTTTACAATACTTAAAAAATTAAAATTAGAAACTTGTGATGTTTTCTTACTGATTAGCAACGGTATCATCTCATGATGTCGAAAGTCCTCCAGTAGCATGACTTCGTTCTGCAGGATAATCGAACAGATCGCTCTTGTCAAAATTGTCGCGAGATGTTCGTCGAACTTGACGTTCAAAACTCGATCGACCATCTCCAATAATCTGTGAATTTGCAAATCCATTCTACCTTTAGTCCGTTAAAATTCACTAACAACTTATTTTCAATTTTGTTTCTCTTTTTACGTGAGTGTGCCTTTGTATTTCACAAAATCCGTCGCCATTCGCGGCGCTAATAGCGACAGAATGTGCATCGCGTGCTCCAGTAGGATCAACGACGATGAGGACCTCTCGATCATCTTGCAGTTGGCGCAGCATTTAACGATCTGCAGGATCACCGGCATGATCATCGTTTTCCTCATCACCTGAACGTTTGAGATAATCACTTCTTCGCCGCCAAACAACTTAAATATCACTTGAAACTGACAAGAATGAATTACGAAAAGATAAACGTCAATATGGGCAAGATGTGCGATGATCATTAATAGGGTCTTCTTGAAGAAGAGATCTTCGTCGCTGTCGGAGAACCTCACATCCCGCGACCAGATCTTGGTAGTGCCAGATTCGATCGCGCTTAAAAGACCGACGATGTCTTCTGCGATGCCGTTGCTGACGAGATCCCACGAAGGCAGAGCCACGATTCCGGCGAGGATCAACGTGGCGATGTCATTCCTGATCCTCCTGTTAACCGCTCGATATTGTCCGCGAAGTATCTGCCTCTGGAAGGAGTACCTCAAGCCCCTGCGCTATGTCGGAAAGCCGACGTTTTGTGCCGATAACCGTCGATGAAAAACAGACGATATGTCGCGTGTGCACCAAAGGAAAGGCTAAACGGAATGTTATGAACAAGTAATACCACATGGCGCACTGCTGAAGCAAAGGGAGATTCTCTGGTCGTTTCCCCGGGAGTAATATGGATCCCACGAGACTCCACAAGAGGCTTGTTATCAGGAGCATGGTGTCCCACGGATATTCTTCACCTTCCAGCTCAATGTCCGGCGGTCTGGTGCAGCGCAGCTGCGTTGCGTAAGGCAAGTCCATTCTAATGAGCAGTGTATTCAGCACGCCGGCCTTCAGCATCCTGTAACCTTTATTTAAGAATATGTGAAAGCTTCGGCGATATGCGCGCGAGCGACGCCGGAAGCGTCCTGCTCGCGTCCTGCTCGCTTGAAGCTAATGCCTTCGCTTCAACATCCCGCGCCGTCCCGGCGCGCATCCCACGTTATCCGTCGGAATAATATTTGAATAAATTAGGCACTCGATATGCGAGCATTCAATATGGTAATCTGCCGGACCGTTGCTTGCACAAAGTGCGCTGCCCGGCTCTGAAAGCGAATGCCACTACTCGGATTGTCTCCTCTTCCTTTTCTTTCGTTCGAGATTTTTACGAAAAGGAGTCATTAGCTCCTTTGAATCGTTTTCAAAAGATCTGCACGTTGCTGCGCACTCAATTGTACGGTTAAAGTGAAAGAAATAAAGCCTATATGAGCCACTCGCAGATGTCGGGACGAAATTAAATTTATACTGTGGGAGGATAACGATGTTTGACAGTGTTGAACGCATTTGTTGAACGACACTGTTAAATATTATTGTCCTCCTACAGTATAAATTTAATTTCGTAAATATCCGCGAAGGACTCTTAAAGAGGGGTCTGGAAGTCACACGAATCAATTGTCACCAAGCTCATATCTCGTAAGTGGAGGAGCATATTCTACTCTATAGTATAGGTTGCTGGTATCATGTCAGTTGAATATACGCGAAATTATGACAGAAATATTATGTAGTATTTACAAGCACTTTAAGTGTGATAACTAGATAGAAGTATAATAACCCTATGCCTCATTTTTCTTTCCTGAGTTGAATACTAGTAGAATCTATTTACATATATCTTGTCAATTATCTGGATGACACTTACAACACTGATACGAGATTGAGGCGAGCATGAAGGCCAGCTCCAAGATCTTCGGATACATCTTCGGTAAGGCCGCCTCCAGTAATTCAGCGACGGTGACTGGCAACCTGGAGTTTTCCATGGCTCGTCGACGAAAGTCCAGTTTCACCGCCGCGACGTTCGCCGGTCTCGTTTGCCCAATTAATAAATAGTCAAGGGCGTCGCGGACCTGCTGGATCTCCTCTTCCTTCGGCAAGATCGTCAGCAGATACCCCAGCAACGTGAAATAATGCTCCATTATGACAGAGCTGGTCAGACTGTCGGAAGCTCGCTCCAACAAAGGTGGTCGACTGCACAACTGCAGCATTCGACCCAGATGCGCTCGATACCCCTCGACTTCTCTGGTCTTCCACGCGAGGAACTCCAACACGCTCATCACGGCCGGCAGGTGTTTCAACGGCTGAACGGGTCTTTAAGGAAATGCGTTTACAGAGGAATGATCGGGAGAAAGAAGGGAATAAAATAGAGAGAGAGAGCGCTTCAGGTACTAATTCTCAGTGTTAAATTTAATTAATTTTTATATTAATTTTTTTAATAAGGGCTCAGTTTAATTAATTTTTATTTTATAGAAAAGAGTATTGATGTTCTTTCAGTATTTCTTTCGCTTAATAAATTCAAAGAATCTCAGTGATTTGCGACTCAAAGGATTTTTGTTAAAAACAATTTCTAATACTGGTAAATTAAAGGATACGTAACCCTCGTCGCCGATCTCGTAGAGATAATCGCACAGGAGTTGTGATATTCGCAGAACATGATCGCTGCTGACGGGATCCGACACTAGTTCTCGCAATTTGTTTATCGTATAAGCGGCATCTATCCTGCGACATTTTTCCGCGTTATTCGCGCGCAGCTCAGGACAATTACAAATTACATGTTTCACACTAGCGGATTCCTTCCCAGGACGACGGTCTTGGCGACGGTTTCGCTCCATTCGGTTAAATTATTCACGAGCGACGGTCATCCATACAAATTAGATCTTAATCACCGATCATCTCCTCGGACATTATTTTATTGGTCGTCGATAATAAATTAACTTCGCGTGGTTCGTTGACTGTGTGTTGTTCCGCTGATATTCATGGCCGACGTCATTCCGGTTCTCCAACTTGATATGCTATCGGTAAATTAAGACGACTGGAACCTCAAGCAAGGAATGCTCGAAAAGAACAAATCGCGCTAAACTAGCAACACGTGTTGGCGATTAATGAGGATCGATGTGCATGCATGCGCAGCGGTAGTCACACTCGAGCTTTCGTGAGATCGATTTATCGAATCGAACAGACGTTATCTTTCGTGGGGTAAATTACGACAAGTGTCGCGATAAGTAGCGTATAATAAATAGCGTAAGTATTATTAAATATCTCGCGCCACATGTAGGTAAGAATAACGCCGGGTCGCTATCCGCGAGCTGGCGCACTCTTTGCGTCGACGCGCCAACCTGGAAGCAGATGGCTCGGGCGGCGCCTTTCTCCTTAAAATTAATTTGCATTAATCCTTTCGCGATTGTGCAATTCGAAGCTGAATACAGACCGCACCCTCGCGAGTCAATGTATGAATTCCTTTCCCATCGATATTACTGAGTTGCACAATTAGGCTGAGCAAAATTACTCTCGCGGTTAAAGTAGACAAGAGACCGATTCGCGTTTGAAAGCTCAACCGACACATCGACGGCAGGTGCGTCTTCACATACACACGCGCGTGTAAAGGAGCTCTTTTATACAGGGTGTCAAATAGAATCGCAGATAGAAATTTCGTCCACTAATTCTTATCCTTTTTTCGCGCTCGCGAAATTTTTCCACGCGATTGTTTCGCGAACACTTCGACGCTCCATTCGCGCTCCAGAAACCACTCGGCTTCGTCTGCTCGACTTGACTCGCTTCATCTCACCGCGGAGTGTCACTGATGATCGCAGCCCAGCCGAACAGGTAGTCGTCCTCCACCAGTTACCATCGTGTCATGTAAGAACACACGCGCGCACTCACGCATACACATGCGAGTGAATGAACGTATGGCCAGGACCGGAGCTAACCAAGGCACTATCAAACGGCGTCTTATACTATTTATACAATTTCTCTCTCTCTCTCCTACAAATAATTATAGATTCAATTGTACAAAATTTAAAGAGAAGAGAGGAAGAATTTTATAGTAAAAATTAATACAACTAAATTATGATAGAATTTTGTGCCGAGGAATTAATCTTCTGCAGTAATTTATTATTCTTTCATTTCATACGTGTATTTATATTTATATTTTAGAAACTAAAGTGTGCTATTAAAAAATTTGCTGTGTTTCTAGCGGAACTCTTTAAAAGTTACTAGGAATTTGTTCCTCAGTAAAACAAATTTTACTAACTACTAGAAACATAAAATTGAAAAGAATTTACATTAAAAAAGAGGCAAAATTGTACCGACTCACAAAGCATGTAAAAGAGGAGAAATCGAAAATGGAAGTAGACACGATGCGTCGCTATCTTTTGCACGAGGCTCCCAACGTTCTCGTCTACATCACTATATCGTGTACAGGTGTGAGTGCGTGCACACGCGCCTTACGACCTCTCGCGCACACGTGAGGGGCCGAGGGAACGGACGCGCACGTGTGGAGGCGAGCAAGCGGCGGCGGCGGCGGCGGTGGCGGCGGCAGTCGCGACACCGACGTGAAGCGGTGCATCGTGCGCGTCGCCGCGCAGCGCGAATTTTCCGCTCGTATTTCGCGACGCTTCGGCACGAGTGGGACAGGTGGCACGTATCGATTCGCATTGTGATATCGAAGATCGACGGAAGATGTGACGGATCCGACGGCGGCCTTGCTGAAGACGGTGAGTGACCTCCGTGCTTCTTCTTCCTCTTCTGCCGTATCGAGCACGCGTGTGCGAGGCGCTTCTTCTTCTTCTTCCTCCTCCTTTTATTCTTCTTGTCCTGCGGCTTCTACTACTCCCCTCGACGGCACGCCGCTGTGTTGGCGCTTTCCCACGAGAAAAGCAACCTTCTTAATTGATACCGCCCGGTTAACGAACCCAGCTTGTTAGCCCAGTGTCTTCTTCCCGCGTGGGTTTTCCACGACGGGAGAAACGCGCGCGCCGGACACAGCGACCTGTCAATCAATGACGACACGTCGCTGTGTCCGTCGAATTTGAAGCGATCTGTAGCACAACACGATAAGGAGTAGCATAAGAGGAAATCTTACTACACTTATAAAATATAAAATAATAATTAAGAAATAAAATTATTTCATTTTTCATGAAAATATGAAGATGATGGGGTTCAAACTGAAAATAAAATAACCTCATCACTTACGAATTTTAAACATTCAGACTCGATTTCGTGTTTATCACAAACGTAGCTATAGTGACTTGTGCCATTTTTACCCTCGTTGTCCCGATTAATCGAAACACCCCTTTAATATCGAAAGGAGAGAATTTTCAAAAGCCCTGGAAGTGTCTTGAGATCCCTTCTGTGCGTCGAGAGAATACGCGCTAGGCCTCGGGGGAAATTCGACTCGGGGGAAGACCTGAAACGAAGCACCGACCCTACGAAAGCGTAAGCCTACGATACGACACGCGTCGCGACGCGTGCGTTCTTCGAGCGAGCGAATCAATATTTGGAGGGTAGGCGTCCCGACGAACAGCGTCGAGGCTGCGGAACGTGAGTCACTCACCCCTGTCCGAGAGAGACAACATGCAAAAGGGGGCTGCTGACCTCTCTTTCGTCCCCTTTTCTCGCATCGTGTCTGACGCGATTGTGCAGCAGCCCTTGTTACGAAAGTTTCGTCGATTCTCTCAGACACGAGCCCACTCGTTTTCGGCTTATTTTCGCGACTACGACCGCATATCCCCCGAAAACTTACTTTTACGTGCAAATTCAACCCCCTATTTATTTTATTTCAAATATCAAATTTTGATATTTCTCTTGAGAAAAAACAGAATGTTATCTGTTAAATGTTGTTATCCATTTAATGATGAGTTAAACAGAAATAATCTAGGCACACCCCGAGAAAAAATACTTAAAAATTTATTTATTTGTGGGAATAAAAGTTTATCTCTTCAAAATAATCTCCAAATAAATCTGCGAATACTTTTTTCTCGGTGCACGCATAAAATTTAATGATTCAAATACAAAACAATTTCCTGACAGGATCGTAACGTATCATTGGACTGTCTTCGGATTCGCGCCGTATGGTGCCGAATTAAAGTCCACCCTCTCATCCCGGATTTCGTCGCGTGACCGCGCGGATCGATCCGTCGCGCGCGACGAGACGTGGCGTCTTTAATTAAGACACTCTGGGATTTTCGGATTTCCCGGTCGAGCGGGCCGCGGCCGTTAAGAGCGCGCGACGTTAATTTACGAGACTCCGTAGGAGCGTGAAGCGTGTACGCGTGTACGCGCCTAAGTAAACCCGTTCGCGCGCGAGGAAACGCGCACGCACGGTGGGAACAGGTTCCATAAAATTGAGCGTTCTTCCGTGGTACCCTTATCCGCGCCGGGCATCTCGTCTGCCCCTTACCTTCGCGTCGATGGCGGCCGCGTCGCTTTGAGAACCCCGGCCTTTTTCGACTTTTTCGCATCGAGATAACGCCGAGATATCCAAGATATTCATTGATATCCGGTGTAATCAAAAAATGGATCAAACGGCTGACAGTGAAAAACCAGTTCCATCCGAAGAAAGACAAAAATTCCTCGAGACAGTCGCGCCGTCACGCATACTCTTATTCGTTAATAAGCTCCGCAATTTATTCATTTGTTTATTTACAGGATTAGGAAGTAATGAAAAAACGGAAACAATCTATACGCACAAAGAAAATATACACTGTTCATTCAAATAAATGTTACTCGTTTCAAGTATTTCGTGAGTTTGTGTACTCGCAGATTTATCACTAGTTTATCATAAGCATCATTCTCTTAAAAATTATTCTCATTTAGAATAGAATAGAATAGATGCGAGTTAGAATCGCTTTGATCATGTCGGTAGTACTGATTGTAAGTACGAAAAGACTTCGAGTGTGTATTCGTTTAAAGAAAAAGTCGAATTTTTCCAGGGTACATACACCGCGCAAAGTAACCATCGTTAGGTATTTCCCGAGGCTCGGTGTATCGTACGCGGTAAAAAAAAAGCGACGCGTTCGCGGACGCGTCGAATCGATTCCGATCGGATCAGCGTGAGGTCTCAGTCCGCGCCCAGATAAATCCGATGACGAGCCTATTTCCTACCCACGCGAGCACGAGATACCCTCGCTCTCTTCTCCCTTTTCGACCTTACCGTTACGCGAATATGCTTTTGCGTTCGCACGTAACGGTGCGCATTGTGGCCGCCGCGGAATAAAGAGATTTCACCGCGAATCGCGGCCCCGTGCCTCTCGCGTCGCCTCCCGGTGCATCGCGTCGCGTCGCCGTGAAAGAATGCAACGCCGTCTCGGTCGCATCGGGAACGTTCCTTTCTTCGGCCCCTTTTTCCCCGGTGTCATTCGCACGTCCTCTCCTCCAGCGACGATGAGCGGCGTCAGCGAGTTAACTCGTCACTGGTCGGTCGGCGGCGCGCGCGGTTAGAAAATCTAGTCGTCGGCTCTGTCAGCCAAAGTCGTAAAGTGAATCTGAATGTTCCATAATCCCGTTGCCGCGGCGATCAGGTTTTGAAGCGTTGCTCAAACATTCAGGTAGTTCAGATAATCAAGATAATCCAGAATTCATTCGTGGAGCAATCTCAGGCACGATTATTCAGCGATCACGACTTAAAGCACTAAAGTAGTCGATTGTGAAACATTCAAAACCCGCACGTCTCTTTATCCTCATCATTGTGAGCATCAGGCCGCGATCACTCGATTACGATCTCCAGCTTGCTCTGCAATACCTTGACGAGAAATTTATCCCATAGTCAATTTTGATCCCAATCAGTTATCTGGTTTGTACAAGTTATCAAATCCTGATAAGTTATGTAAATGTGTAATTGCAGAGTGGAAATTAGATCCTCATTAATAACCCGCATAGAAAATTTCTTGGATTTAATTGAGATTAACTAAATTTCCTAAAATAATTATGGTTTCTAGTGTTAAAAGTATTATTTATAGTTTTAAACATGCGATTCTAAATTGGGGGAAAAGCCAAAGTTTTCTTAATATATTTTTTAGTCTTCATTTTATGTTAGACTTGAATAAAACATATTGACTTTCCAGATAACTTTATTATATACTAAAATACTCGAAGTATTATAAAAATACTTTATTTTTCATCTTTTGTTCTATTGAATATAATAGTTGGTGCAAAAATGGAATTCCCTGTTTGATACCATAAAAGTATATCGGCATTACTAATTGAGAAGAAGCGCGAGTCTCATAGCATTTTTGTTTCGATTCTAAACAGAAAAGCCATGATTGATACTAGAATGGGATTTCCAATTGGTGTTGTAGTGCCAAACCAATTTGAGCATTCTAAATCTATACTGCATCTGGGAAATTCTTAGGGAAATTTCTGTGCAGGTAGGAATTTCTATTAATAACCAGAACCCCCGATAACGTCACTTTATGCAAAGCAGATAACTGATTGGGATCAACCTGATCACGGGATAAATTTCAGTCGGGGTGTCGTTCGCACGCACCGACCTCGCCGCCATCGCTCGCGCGCGAGTGAACTCGCTCTGGGAGGACGTTCCAGCCCGAAAGAATGGAAATCCTCGTCGACTCGAGTCGCCTCCTCGAGCGTTCGCCGGTCTCTTCGTCACGACCTTGAGCGGAACCGCGTACACCGGTTATTGTAATAGCTGCGCCGGCCGTCCCTCGCGTGTTCGCGTTCATCGGGCGGACCGGCCGAGCCGAGCCGAGCCGGTGGTTGCAGAAGAAAGTTGGCGGTTGAAGAAAGAGAGACGAACGAGGGGAGGATAAAGAGAAGGAGGAAGAGGAGGAAGAAGAAGAAGAGGGAGAGTCGCTGACACCGGTCAGAAGGAGGACGCCTCTGGCGATTCATCAGAGTCGCCCGAGTCTTTTTCTTCGTCGAAATAATCATCGGGCCGATTCTTAGCGATCTCTGCGCTCGTCTCGCCCCGTCCTACGTTTTGGCGTCCGCGCGTACGTAATCGTAATGAGATACGGCCCGAACGTGTCTTCGGGGGTTATTACACTACGGGCCAGGGTATTACTTAGGAATCGCGCTTGATGAAATTTCGCCTCGCGGAAAGCGTATTCCACCCGCCGTGTCCGCGAGAGATCGCTGGGAAATAACGTTAATCGAGAAACGCACCCGTGGTATGTGAACCCGCACTCATGCACGTATGTACGTACGTAGGCAGGTGGTTCCTGCGGAGGATACTCTATGTATACAGCGTGCACAACCGCGCGACGTGCACACCTCTTCCGCGTCGCATTCTTCGGCAGCTATCGGTCGATCCATAAATCCTACGTGTGATCGCCCTCAACAAGTTTCCCGAAGATTATCCAACTGTAAACTTGATGTAACGGAATCTGAACAGAGCTCTCCTCGGAATTCCAACGAACGGAATTGAAGTTTTCTGCTTTACAAGGTGGTTTAGCTCAGATCCGCAAAGTGTTGTTTGCTTCTTCTTTCTTTCTCTGTATCACTTTCTATGTGACCTGAAGCCTTTAGCCAGAAAAAAGTAGAGAACAAGAAACGGGAAGCAAAGAGCACGTTGTAGATTAAGTAGAATAGAACTTTCATCTACTTTGAACGTTTGTAGATTCTGAAGGATCAGTGTATGGATTTGAAAACTGGAGTCCTACCTTAGCGCCTCTAAATGCAGGAAATTCACAAAAAATATCACTTGTAGGTCCTAAAGAAGACCCTTCGACAAAGTTGATAGATTAAATAGAATGAA